TGAACATTTGGGTGGCATTATGCAAATATTTCCATATAGTGTGGTAGATATGTGGGGGCGTGTTAGAATGAGCCGTTTTAGGGGGGCGTGGCAGAGTCTTAACTTTGATAAAGAATATCTCTTTGGTTTTGAGACTTTAGTCTTTGCAACTTCAGGGATCTTATCTATGCACAATCAGCTTGTAACACTCCAAAGAGAAAGGAAAACTTGAAATCGCATCATATGACCCCTTTAACATTTTATTAATGTTTTTTTTTTGTTTTGTTACAGACCCAGGTGGGAGAGGGCAGAGTGTACAAATGCCTGTTCAACCATAAATTTGAGGAAGCAATGTCAGAAAAGGTGCAGCACATCTCTTATGCAACATAATGTGCATAAAATGTCAGTTTCTGATCCGAAGTCATAGTCTAGAAGAAGCCGCAGGAATGTTGGTGGTCAGTTTAGTGTATGTGTTTGTCCTGTCTGAGTGTCTGTGTACTTAATAAGCATCTCTGTCCACAGTGCAGAAACGCCCTGACCACTCGGCAAAAGCTCATTGCTCAAGATTATAAAGTCAGTTACTCCCTCGCGAAGGCCTGTAAGGCCGACCTACGCAAATACCGTTGTAACCCGGACACCAGCATGCCTCGCGCCCGAGAGGCCAGACTCTCCTACCTCCTCCTCTGCCTGGAGTCTGCTGTTCACAGAGGTCTGTTCGTGTCATTCAGTATCATACTACAGTTGTACTCTGACATTGGCCAATATTATCTTTTTTATTTTTCAGTATTATTTCATATTGGATATTTCAGTGTGCATGTTCATTTTTAATTCTAAATTGATTATTACTCATTATTATCATTCATGTAATTATCATACAATTATTATTAATTTTAACATTTAAATTACTACCATATCTTTATCTGCCAATATAATTTTTTTTTTGTATTGTTTGATATTGGATATTTAACTGTGCATGCTATTTTTTATTCTACTTTGATTTTCACTCTTTATTATAATTATTGTTATTATTATCATTATTATTAATTATTTTTTACATTTATAATAGTACCATATTGGTTATCCACTAATATTAAAAATTTGATTTTTTTTTGTTTTTAGTTTTGTTTGATATTGGATATCAATAATATTAATATTCTACTTTTATTATTATTATTATCCCTGTTATCATATTATGATTATTACTTACATTTACATTTAGAATAGTACTATATCAGTTATCTGCTAATATTAAATAATTTTTTCCAGTATTGTTTGATATTGGATATTTCATTGTCCATGTTAATTGTTATTTTACTTTAAATATGATTATTTATTATTCATGTTATTATGATAAGATTATAATTCATATTTACATTTAGAATAGTGCAATATCGGTTATGGGCCAGTATTAAAGATTTAGTTTTTTTTAGTGCATGATATGGGATATTTCATTGTGCATTTTTTTATTTTAATTTTAATATTATTCTTATTATTCATATTATTATTATTATCATGTGATTACTGTTCTTTTTTTTTTTACTTTTAAATTAGTGCCATATCGGTTATAAGCAAATATACTACATTTTTTTTGTTTGTTTTTCTAAATTGTTTGGTATTGGGTTTTTAATTGTGCATGTTTTTTATTTTACTTTCTTATTCATTAGTAGTAGTAGTAGTAGTAGTGGTACCATATGATTATTACTCCTATTTACATTTAGACTAGTACCATATTAGAAGTACTAAATTCACTTGTAGTATTAAAAAATTATTTTAGTTGTTATTGTACTATTTTTTTTTATTTAGACAAAATGGTATGGAATTTTAATATCAGCCATAAAACAAATAATAATCAGCATAGGCCAAATGCTAAACCGAAATCAATTATTATAAATTATGAATCTAAAGTAATTAAATATTTAGTGAATATCACACAAATACGTTTTTTTAAACGTATTTTTTTTAAACATGAAATGCAGTATACTGTATATTCTGTGCAGTAAATAACGCGCTGGTATTCTGTTCCAGCCATAGTCTTTGCTCTCATTCATGCATGTTCTCCTCTTCAGGGCTGTTTATTGATTTGCTGCAACCTAATATGTTTGTTCATTGTTACGTTACTTCCCGTGGGTTTTACTGCTGTCATCTCAGGCCGTACGGTGACCGGAGACTGTCAGGGTGAGATGCTGGACTACAGACGCATGCTAATGGAGGATTTCTCTCTGAGCCCTGAGATCGTGTTGCATTGTCGAGGAGAGATCGAGGCGCACTGCTCAGGATTGCACCGCAAGGGACGAACCCTGCACTGCCTCATGAGAGTCACCCGCGGGGACAAGGGCACGGTGGACAACCTCTGCCAGACAGCAGTAAGCATTTATTTGATCAACAATGTGAAATATTATAACAATTTAAAAGAACTGTTTTTAATTAGAATATATTTTGAAATGTCATTTATTCCTGTGATGCAAAGCTGAATTTTCAGCATCATTACTCCAGTCTTCAGTGTCACATGATCCTTCAGAAATCATTCTAATATGCTGATTTGCTGCTCTAGAAATCTGTTTTTTTGTTGTTGTTTTGTCTCTTGTAGCTCCAGACTCTTATCCAGTCAGCAGACCCCGGTGCTGATTACCGGATTGATCGCGCTTTAAATGAAGCCTGTGAGTCTGTGATCCAGACGGCCTGCAAACACATCCGCAGCGGAGACCCTATGTGAGTCATGTTGATATAGTGTAAATACTTGCATGAAAGCTTCAGTGAGCGTGGTGTATTGTTCTCTGTCATCAGTGGAAACTGTAGTCTGTCACAGGATTTATTTGGGTGAGATAACACTCCTGTAGAGATTTAGACTCATTGCTTTGTTTAAAGCGCCAATGCTGACTTTCTCTCACATGCACCATATAAACCTGCAGTGGATTTAGAGGAGAGAGTCAAATCCAATTAAGTGTGTGTGGAGTGTAAATGTGTCACACTCTTTTTCTAAGAGGAAGAAAGATGAACGGGCATTCAAGCTGTAGAATGCAACTCAGTCAAGTTTACACGGTGTCTGCATTGGAAAAGGCTATGTAATACTAAAAAAAAGTTGTATTTATTGATTTTTTTTATTTTTATTGATTTTTATTTTATTTATTTAGTTTTATTTTTATTAAATTGTTTTTTTTCTAATTTATTTAATTTCTAATTGGTTATTTTAAAATTATTATTAATTTTTCATTGATTTTTATAATATTTGTCAAATAAAATATTTAAAATGATCCTGCATCGGAAGAAACTCAAATAAGGGGATTTGTTTGTTTGTTTGTTTATTGATTTATTTATTTTATTTATTTTGATCTATTTTGAAAAGGTTATTTTTATTTAAAAAAAAATTTCTTATTTATGATTTATTTAATGTATTAGTTTTAATTCATTTTAAATGTATTTTTAATAACATGTTAACATGTTTCATGTAGTATGTGTCAGCTTATTGTATAATCATATAATGCCATCCGTGTTTACAGATAAAGCTGATTTGTTGAATACAAATGTACTATTTCAATTTTTTTCTTTTATTTCTGCAGTAATGCCAAGCAGTGTTTTATTATATGACGTATGATATAAAGTTGTGTTCTTTTTATTTGGTGGATTAAATATTAAAAAGACATGTATTTGTGTGTTTGTAGGATTCTGTCTTGTTTGATGGAGCATCTTTACACCGAGAAGATGGTTCAAGACTGTGAACACCGTCTTCTGGAGCTGCAGTACTTCATTTCAAGAGACTGGAAGTAATCAGCCTAACCTTTCCATTTCCTTTTTCCTTACCTGACCTTACCTGATGACTCAGACAAAATAAGACCCTTGAAACCCCCTCTTACGCTTTCAAGTTGATGTTTTCGAGTGTGTTTGAGTAATAATAACGTTCAAATCCATTCAGTCAGTCGGGGGTCGTCATTGTATGTGTTTAATAGCTCAGCACTCGTCTGCAGTTTGATTCGCGTGCCTGATGCGACCTTCACGGTGTGTCTCTCTCATCTGTTCAGTTTGAAAAGCATGCCCACACAGTGCCATTATAACAAAACCATTAGATGGTCATAACTTCATTCACAGCCCATTAGATTCAAGTGGTTTTTAATTAGAACAGTTTGAAGCAGCAATTTGGTTTGATGGTCCATTGTGACAGACTGGCTGTGTGATGCTTTGTTTGTTACAACCCTACAGAGACTGTTGTTCTCTTCTCTATTGTGACCAAATCTTGGCAAAAGGTGGATTTTTTTTTTTGTAAACTGGTTTTAGATGCTGATTCATGCCACTAGCACTAAATGTATCTAACAGACATTACAGTTCAAAAGTTTGAGGTCGGTAAGATTTTTAAAAAAATATTTTTGAAAGAAGCCTCTTTTATTTGATCAAAAATACAATAAAAATCGTATCATTGTAAAATATTATTACAATTTAAAATGCCAGTTTTCGGTAACACTTTACTTGAAGCCTTTATGTATAATGTATTATAAAAGTCATTTTAATGCAATAATTATGCCTTGTAATGCACCTCATAATGCATTGTATAATCTCAAATAACTAATTACAGTTAATACATTATAACACTTATCAGTTCATTGTTACACTGTGCATTTTAAATTCAGTTATAATTATTTACAACAAAATATAGTGTATTACAATGCACATTATGAATAATTATAATGCATTATACCATTTAATAACCCCTTTATAATGCATTATACATGAAGGCTTTAAATGAAGTGTTATCCAGTTTTCTATTGTAATATATTTTAAAATGTAATTTATTGCTGTGATCAAAGCTGAATTTTCAGCAGCAATACTCCAGTCTTCAGTGTCACATGATCCTTCAGAAATCATTCTAATATGCTGATTTGCTGCTCAAGAATTATTTCTGATTGTTATCAATGTTGAAAACATTATTTTTGTGGAAACGTTACATTTTATTTTTCAGGATTCTTTGATCAATAGAAAGATAAAAAGAACAGCAGAAATATTTATTATTATTAATAATGTTGAAAACATTTGTTCTGCTTAATATTTTTTGTGGAAAGCAAACCATTTATACCAAAAACAAAAATAATGTATTTGATGATTCTTTGATGAATTGTAAAAACAAAAACAAAAAACAGCATTTATTTCAAATACAAATCTTTTGTAACATTATAAAAATCAGTACTGTCACTTTTTTATCAAGTTATGTGATTGGTATATGTGTACATATAGTTATGATGACGGACTGATTTCAGGTATAGACACAATTCTACTTTCATATCACGAGGTCAGAGGTTGAGGTTAAAATCTGGTTAGGCATGTGACTCATTTTTGTCTCCTGTGTATTTTTTCCTTCAGGCTTGATCCTATCTTATACCGTAAATGTCAGAATGACGCGTCCAGACTGTGCTACACACCGGGCTGGAACGAGAGCAGTGAGCTCATGCCTCCTGGTGCTGTGTTTTCCTGCTTGTACCGCCACGCTTACCGGACAGAAGAGCAGGGCAGACGGGTGAGAAGAAGCACAAACAATGTGCATTTTAGTCAGTTCTTATTAATACACTAAAGAGACTATCAGCATGAAGTCTGGTCCACCTTACAGTTTATTCTGACTTGGAACTACCTACTACATACAGAAAACAAATAGAAAAGTCAACTGTCTTTGGTCATTTTATATGAGAGAACAAACAAGTCAAATAGAGGGCATGTGATTTTGGATTCATCCATTGAATTTGCAAAATAGATCATATCAATAATTGATCAATAATCAATAATATTCATAAGTGATGTGGAAAAAATCACTTCCATGTGCAGCTTACCAGGGACTGTAAGGTGGAAGTCCAGAGAATTCTTCACCAGAGAGCTCTGGATGTGAAGTTGGACCCTGAGCTCCAGAAACGCTGCATGACTGACCTGGGAAAATGGTGCAGTGAGAAGACAGACACCGGACAGGTACAAAATGATTTTTGGGATGAAACTCCTCAGTTTTGCAGGAGACATCATTAGGTCATCGAGTCAGAGTTTGTTTTGTCTGCCTCAGGAGCTGGAGTGTCTTCAGGACCATCTTGAGGACCTGGTGTCAAGCTGCAGAGACGTGGTGGGCAACCTGACAGAACTGGAATCTGAGGTACGCTTCCTATTCCACACCACAGCATGTACATAAACCTTAGAGTGGATAAGGTCATAAAGGGTGAGGGCGTGAAAGAAATCGCTTGTAAGATAGGATCGTCTGTACTGTTTTGTTACTGTTATAGTTACTGTTTATGGTTTATATATATTAACATTGAAAAGTTTGGGGTCAGTAAGTAATATTTTTCAAAGGAATTAATGCTTTTATTTAGCAAGGATACGTTAATCATTGATGAACATTGACAATAAATACATTTATAATGTTACAAATGTTACAAATTTCAAGTTCAAATAAATGCTGTTCTTTGGAACTGTTTATATTCATCAAAGAATTCTGATAAAAATGTATGAAAAATGAATTTTTCAGAATCGATAATAGTAAATGTTTAGAATTAGAATAGTTTCTGAAGGATCATGTGACATTGTAGACTGGAGTTATGCTGCGCTATCACAGGAATAAATTCTGTTTTAAATTACATTAAAGGATTAGTTTACTTCTGAATTAAAATTTCCTCATAATTTTCTCACCCCCATGTCATCCAAGATGTTCATGTCTTTCTTTCTTCAGTCGAAAAGAAATTAAGGTTTTTGAGGAAAACATTCCAGGGTTTTTCTCTATATAGTGGACTTCAGTGGGGTTCACTGGGTGGAAGGTCCAAATTGCAGCTTAAGTGCAGCTTCAAAGCGTTCTACACGATCCCAGACGAGGAAGAAGGGTCTTATCTAGCGAAACGATCTGTCATTTTCTAAAAAAAATTACAATGTATATACTTTTTAACCTCAAATGCTCGTCTTGTCTAATTCTGCTTGAACTCTGTGCATTCCGGTTCATGACAGTTAGGGTATAAGACTGTCTTTTAAATTGTAATAATATTTCACAATATCAATATAAATCAAATAAATGCAGCATTGGTGAGCAGAAGAGACTTCTTTCATTACATTAAAAGATCTTATATTTAAATATATAGAATTTAGGGATTTTTGGGACAAATGATCTTGGTTTATGGTCACACTGTTGTGTTTACAGGACATTCAGATTGAAGCCCTGCTGATCCGAGCTTGTGAACCGGTCATCCAGAGCCACTGCCACGTTAGTACTGGCAACACACACATCGAATTATTCCTTTAATTTTTTAACTCTGAATTCCTCATGTCTGTCTATTTTCTCCCAGGATGTAGCTGATAATCAGATAGACACGGGGAATCTTCTGGAATGCCTGGTGCAGAATAAACATCAGAGGGAAATGAATGATAAATGTGCTGTGGGCGTCACCCATTTCCAGCTGGTAAGCCAGTCACACAACCAATTTCCCTATTTTAAATTTGAATGATGACAAGTAAATTTTTTCCCAAATGTCATGCTGTCCCAGCACAGAGTGTACTGAATGGTTTTGGGTTGGTTTGGGGTATTGATGGATATGTTGACCATGCTAATTAATCAGCCAATATTTGCCATTTTGAGATTGACATCACATTTTTTGAGTGAATTTTGCATATATAGATATTGTGAAAATAAGATTCTATCATTGTTATTATAGTTAACTAATACAAAAATTTAAACTACGGAAACAAAAATAAAAATTACAACATATCTATTTTAATAGCTATCTGTCTGTCTTTCTATCTGTCTGACTCTGTCTGTCTGACTCTGTCTGTCTGTCTGTCTGACTGTCTGTCTGTCTGACTCTGTCTGTCTGTCTGTCTGTCTATATAAACTACTAAAAAATGATTTATGGTATGTATTTTATGTCAAGTTTATTTTTACTTGTCTACCCTTCAGGTTCAGATGAAGGACTTCCGCTTCTCCTACAAGTTCAAAATGGCCTGTAAAGAGGACGTACTCAAACTCTGTCCCAACATTGAGAAGAAGTGAGTTCACAAATCCTGCAGCTGTCTCTTCAGGCTTTGAAATGTTCTGCATAAACTCTGTTTGGATTTTGTCATTCAATTTTGATGGTGATTTATTTGTTACATAACATTTTTCATGGAGGCTTAAATCATCATGGCCTGTCTGTGTGTCTCCTCTTATTTTGGCACTGTTGCACTCTCTCACGCTCACACAAATTCATCCTCTTGAACCATATTTTTTTATCTTCTGCCTCAGTGTCTCTTTCACCCTCTTCATGTGTCATTTCGTTATTCCTCCACCTCAGGGCGGATGTGGTCATCTGTTTGAGCACCACAGTGAGGAACGACACTCTGCAGGATGTAAAAGATCAGCGTGTGTCTCTCAAATGTCGGAAACAGCTGAGGGTGGAAGAGCTTGAGATGGTGAATTCACTTTACTCAAGTTAAATCACACACTCCACATTGTTCAGACCCTTTTTACTGTACAACAAAAGTGGACTGTAATTTATTCGATCAAGGTCCTAAAAGTACCATTAAAGTTTCATGAAACTTTTTCATATATTACTCATGCGCTATATTCCAAGTCTTCTGAAGCTATGAGTTCAGATGTCACACTCTCTGTCCCCTTCATTTGCAGTCGGAGGACATTCGACTGGAACCTGAGCTGCATGATGCTTGTAAGAAGGATGTCAACAAGCTTTGTTCCTCTGTCGCCTATGGAAATGCTCAGGTAACTGTTTACTTTGATCTTTTACTATTCTAGATAGCTTTATGCACCCACCTGCAGCTGCTGCATGCAGACGCATGATGAAACTTGTCCAGTTAGAGAAAGAAGATTCATATAACAAGATTCCCACAGTCATGGAGCACCTGGAAATAGTAGAAAAGTTTCAAATTGAAATTTCCAGGTCATAAAAATGCAAAAACATTGCATCTCTACCTTTTTGACTAGTAGTGGCAATTTATATTAAAATAACTAAATACAATAATTATAAAGAATTAAAAGAAATAAAATTCCAGAATTTTCAATAACTTAATGTTCTTCAGGCTTTACACTTTTTATTACCAATGACTTTTATAGTCATATGGAGTTAAAAAAAAAATTTGTTATTCACATATAGCAATAGTGTCCAGATAAAATATTTTAGAGCAAATCTAGAAAAAGGTATTCATTTTAGAAATTTCCATGATTTTTTAAAAGATTTTATTAATTTCAATAATATTTCCATGTCTAGAAATCACTATTTTAAAATTCCTAAATTGTAACATTTGTAACATCATAAATGTCTTTAAAATTCACAAATATAAATGATAGAATTAGAATTAAGAAATGTCAGCTTACATTTAGATTTTTATCTGTTCTTGCTTATTTTAATGTTTTTCTCTTATTTGAAATAATTTCATGCCGTGTTGAGTTCCACTTAAATGTATACACAGTTGCTTTTTTAAATTTGACTTAATTTTAATTTTTAACAAATGGAACGGTACAAATGGAAAACTCCTCCATCAGTCTTTATAAAACGATTAAAAACACTTATTAGGTGATCACGAAAGACTGAAAAACATCATGTAAATCCATTAGTGTGGAAACCCTGGGGAAAATAAAGCATAAGCCCCAAGAAGCCGTGGTTTACAGTGAATTTATAACAGCTAAGGGGCGTTGTTAGGCATGATTTAGCTGTTATATATTCACTGTAAACCACGGCTTCATGGGACTTATTGCTTTTATAAATAGCTGTTATATATTCACTGTAAACCACGGCTTCATGGGACTTACTGCTTTTATAAAACGGTTATTCCATATACGTAGTAAGGTTTCACAAAATAAAACAGAGCAAATAAAGTGTGATGATATTAATAAAAACATTATTCTTCCACCAAACAATGTAGTTCCTCAGAATCAGTTGTGGTTGCCGAGCGACACACAAACGTAAACAAAGGTGTATGTTTGTAGAGTAATTTACAACGGCTTCGAACGTGGCTCAGCCAATCAGAATCAAGGACCGGAACTATCCGTTTTATAATCCTACATTACAGCCAGATGGTTTAAACCACATAGCAAAATACACAATTCATATTGTACAGAGTGTGATTGTTATACATGTTATGCAAAGCCGGGTGGTTTGAAGCATGTTTGCGCACACATGCAAAATACAAAATAGGATTTTCCTTGCTTTTTATGGAATTACATTTTCAATGTGTAACGCTCTTAACTTTCTCGCCCAGTCCATTAAAAACCTAGCTATAAAAATGATTCAGCCATAAATCATGTTGACACAATGTGAGCACATTAACATATGGCCACACATGTTTACATAATTACACTTATTCAGTAGTCAGCAACCTGGCAGGGTCCTGTTTAGTCAGGTAACAGCTTAGGTTAGCTTGAGTTATTAAAAATAATAATAATAATGCGATAAAATATGAATGCATATAATCATGCCCTCTGACCTACATGAAAATTCCATAATAAGACATTTTCTTGCTTTCAACACAATTCCAGCTTTAACTACCACCAATGAAATGCATAGAAAATGTGTAGAGCTGTCCGTTTGTACTGTTAATTTAGTGTGATTGTTATTTTAAACGTACATTTAATCATCACCTTGACTAACCTTACCTTAAGTGAAAAAAATAAAATGCTGCTGCAATGAAGTACAGAGCCCCATTAACTAACTGTTGGAGAAAACCTTCATAACCTGTTGTTTTTTTCACGCCTCTATCTGTCCTCTTCTTCTCAGATCATTGAGTGCCTCAAAGAGAACAAGAAGCAGCTGTCCCAGGTGTGTCATCAAAAGATCTTTAAGCTTCAGGAAACTGAAATGATGGATCCGGAGCTGGACTATCAGCTCATGAGAGTGTGCAAGCAGATGATCAAGGTGAGTTGTTTTAGCAGGTAACTAACTTGGGGTAAGTTCTGCATTTCCCTTAGGTCGTATCCTGACATTTCTTCCATTACCTAAAGCTTTCCTGTCAAACAGAACGAGCTGATGGTTATAAACGTACTCTGGATTGTCAAAGATCAATAGTAATGGCTTAACCCCCATGTTTTAATTAACTTAAACTCAATAAGATCAACATGGGGCCAGAGTGAAGCGGCTGATAGATCGGACCTGATTTGGAAAAGAGTATTAAACATTTAAACCACATAACCTTGTCTTTGAGCGAAATAGCATTGAATGAACAAATACTCTTCCGTTCAAAAGTTTGGGGTGAGTACGTTTTATATTTTGAAAGAAATTAATACTTATAATCAGCAAGGACACTTTGCTGATTGATCAAATTGATCAAAAGTGAGAGAAAATACTTTTATATGATGTTACAAAAGATTCCTATTTTAAATAAATACTGTTCTTTTGTACTTTTGATTCATAGAATCCTGAAAAAAAAAGTATCACGGTTTCCACAAAAATATTAAACATGATGATATTATCATCATCATCATCAAATCAGAATATTAGAATGATTTCTGAAGGATCATTTGACACTGAAGACTGGAGTTATGATGCTGAAAATTCAGCTTTGATCACAGCAATAAATTGCAATTTTAGATGTATTAAAATAGAAGACTGTAAATTTCAGTTGTAGCAATGCTTATGAATATTGTTTTTGTATTGGTTTGCAAAAAACAAACATTTTACCGACCTAAACTTTTGAGCCGTAGTGTAGTTTAAGAAAAGGATATTTTTACATTTAGCAGTTTTATGCCACATTACATCACTGTAAAAGCCGAGGGCTTATAATCACAAAATTGCCAGTTCATTTGCCAAGCTATCTACAGACATTGTAGAGGGATTGAATCTGCCTTATGTGCAAGTCATTTTGGCTGAAAGCGCATGCAAAGTGACTACATACTTGCTTTTCAAAGAGTCTGTAAACTTCCATATGTTTCCCATAGATAGTCCAGTCAGCAGTTAAAGGGATAGTTCACCCAAAAATGAAAATTTGATGTTTATCTGCTTACCCCCAGGGCATCCAAGATGTAGGTGACTTTGTTTCTTCAGTAGAACACAAATGATGATTTTTAACTCCAACCGTTCCAGTCTGTCAGTCGTATAATGCATGGCAATGGTAACAAAATTCTCCTTTTCTTTGCCCTTCGTGACCTATTTGTCCTTGGTTTAGCGTTTTTGCACAGAGTCAGATGCTAAGAACGTGCTGCAGTGTCTGAAGCTGAACAAGAACAGTGAGCTAATGGATCCCAAGTGTAAGCAGATGATCACCAAGAGACAAATCACTCAGAACACAGGTGAAGACCAAACACATCTGCACTTCATTTACAGTTAACTACAGTTAGTTGAGTTGGTTCATTTGAAGCTGCCATCTAAATCTCCCATTTTTGGTTCTGAAACTCTCCTTGAGTTTTAATGGCCTCCTAGTTTTTTTCTTTTCTTAAAGTATCTATGAATTATTTCAACTTTTGTAATGCTAGTGTTTTAATTTCTTTGCTGTATTGGTGTTTTCAGACTACAGATTGAACCCAGTGTTGAGGAAGGCTTGTAAAGCAGACATACCCAAGTTCTGTCAAAGCATACTCAATAAAGCCAGTGACGCCAACGAACTGGAGGGTCAAGTCATATCCTGCCTTAAACTCAAGTATGCAGACCAGGTATGTGTGTCACTGAATATTAGCAACAAATATGTAAGGGGATAATGTACAGTCAGCCCAGTATTATAGCAAAATTATAGTCTTGTATCATACTGAAGGGGTTATGTTGCTATAATGACCATCTGACTGTACATTATCCTGCTTATTGCGCAACTACTTACTTATATCATCGCTGTTACTGTTAATTATTTTAAACTATTAAAAATTGCTTTTGGTAATTGAAATAAAATAAATAGATGAAAAAAATAATTAAAAATGAATAATAAAAACTTGAAAATAATAACAAAAATTTGAAATGTTATCTAAAGTTTGTGCAAAAATGTACTTAAATTAAAACAATAAATACATAAAAAAATATTAACTTTATAACTCGTACAAAAATAATGATAATTTCAGCTTATATAAAATAAAGCTAAAATAAATGTAATTAATTTAATTAAATGTAAGTATTAGATTAAAAATATTAATTTACTAAATTTTAATGTAAAAAACAATTGGAAAATGATAAATGTTGACTAAATGTTTTGCTAAAATTACTAGAACTAAAATCAAATAAATTAAAGCTATATAGAAGTATTTAAAAAAAATACAAAATTGACTAACGCACATAAAATGACTAAAATAAAAAACTAATTATTAAAAAATGCTTATTCAAAATATGAATAAATAATGATATAGAAATAATACTATAGTAATAATGACTTTTATGTTAAGTTGAAATAATGTTATTTTTGGCTAAATATTCGACAGAGTTGTGTATTAAACACATGCTGGTCTTTGTGTGCAAGTCGGATATGGAAGTTCTTTTATTAGCATGTGAGTGGGAGTGTTGTGATGTGGAGATGCAGACTGTTTAACACTTTTAAACCGGTTAAAATGGTCTTTGTTCCCAGCGGTTGTCAGGAGACTGTGAGGATCAGATCAGAGTGATCCTTCAGGAGTCAGCGCTCGATTACCGGCTCGATCCGCAGCTCCAGGTTCACTGCAGGAATGAGGTGAGTGGACACACGGGCTCTGTCCCAAACCCTAGTGAGCCGTCTTTATGTATACTGTCTACAGAGGTCAGTGAAATTAAAATGCATGAGTGACTGATTAAAAAGCATTCTTTTCTTTATCGAATTATTCTTATTTTTCATTACTGAATAAAATAGAATTGATATTTCCTTTGATTCTATCTCTCAGCTCACTGCAGTGCATTTTGGGAGGGATTGCATTATCTGCTAAAGGATACAGGTGCATCTCAATAAATTAGAATGTCGTGGAAAAGTTGATTTGAACTTGAAACTTCTGGCCAAACTGCTGATATAAATCAGTACCATTTTGCTGTCTGCTGTTTTAATGATGCCTAAAATGCTGTCTAGGTAGGGAGCTTGCAAGTGTTTGGAACGGAGCCCATGGCCTTCAATACATACCATCTTTATGAGATCTAACAGTCTGTTTAAACATGTCAAGACACTCATTTGGAGCTGTACAGAGACAGTGAGGGGGCGTCTGAGAATCGCTCTAAAAGATCGTCCAAGCAATGTTACATTTACATTTAGTCATTTAGCAGATGCTTTTATCCAAAGCGACTTACAAATGAGGACAATGGAAGCAATCAAAATCAACAAAAGAGCAATGATATACAAGTGCTATAACAAGTCTCAGTTATCCTAACGCAGTACACGTAGCAAGTTTTTTATATTTTTATTATATAATAAATAAGAAAACAGAATAGAAAAAGAATAGAGCAAGCTAGTGTTAGAGGCCTTTTTTGCTAAATAAAAAGAAAACAAATTTATAGAATATAAAAAGATTAGAGAAGCTAGTGTTAGTTTTTTTTTCTCAAGAAAACAAGCAGTTAGTAAATGAATAGAGTGCAAGTCTAAAAGGGGCAATTTTTTTTTTTTTAAGAATAAAATTAGAATAGAGAGTGCTGGAGTTAGAGGGTCAAATAAAGATGGAGTGAGTTCTTTTCGGCTCATTAAAAATGTATCTTGCTGCCGCGTTCTGGATTCATTGTAAAGGTTTGATAGAAGTGGCTGGAAGACCTGCCAAGAGAGCATTGCAATAGTCCATGTTCCGAAAGAAAGGGCCTGATCTTCTTGATGTTGAATACCGCAAATCTGCAGGATTGGGCCGTTTTAGCAATGTGAACCTATGTTTTTTTTTTTTCTTTCTGTCCCTAAAGAGATTCTCTGAGTGAGGAAGAAATGTCCAACTGCCTCATGAATGACTCATCCGCAGTAATATTTCAGTCCTGTTTCTGAGGGAATGGAAGGAATTCATATATAATGTCACAAGACAGGAACTAGATGTCCAATTCAAAATAGTCACGTTTAGCACCAGATATTTTTATCGACATAGTGGGGTCGGATTTTGGAAAAAAGTCTCTTATGCTCATTAGGGCTGCCTTTATTTGATCAAAATACAGTAAAATGAGTAATATTGTGAACTATTACAATTTAAAATAACAGTTTTCAATTTGAATATGTTTTATGTAAATTTTTAAGCTGAACTTTCAGCATCATTACTCCAGTCTTCAGTGTCACATGATCCTTCAGAAATCAGTCTAATATGCTGATTTGCTGCTCAAGAAACATTTCTTGTTATTATCAATGTTGAAAATAGTTGTGCTGCTTGATATTTTTTTGTGGAAACCATGATACCATGATAAATATAATTTTTGTAACAATGTACTTTACTGTTACTTTTAATTTAACAAGCTCTAGCGGGATTAAAGTATTCATGTAAAATAAAATAAAATTAAAAAATGAAATCTTTTTTTTTTTTAATCTGACAGTTATGTATTTTATTTATTTTATTTTTTTTATTAAATTTGCAGATGGTTTGGTTAGATGTACTATTGGATAAAACTATTTAATAGTTTTTATTTATTCATTAATTGGTCATTTAATATTAATTTAATTACTTTTTATTTAATTCTGTCTTTGTTGGACAGGAATCTGTAGAATGACATCAATTTATTAGGATTGTGTGTGAAAATGACAGTCCAGATTAGTTACGCTATTAAATATATGCTATATTATATGCGCTAACTTCTGCACCAAGGCTTAGCCATCTTATTGTTATTAATGAATGATTTTTCATAACGTTATTGTATAGGGTCTGTTTGATCTGCTGTGCTGCAGAGAGTGTTGCAGATGAATGTGGATTGTTTGTAATGCTATGGGACAGGAACAGGGACCCTCCTCCTGCAGCCTGTCTGAGAAAAGCCCTTTATTTATGATCTCCATGAGCCATAGGCTCTCAGGGAGCAATCGAGCAGAAATGGTGTGAAATGGGTCTCTTGGTGGGTCAGTAAAGAAAATTGACTTTGATCTCTAGGTGATATTCTGCTGACTGAAGGCCACATGAACAAAGACAAAGACAAGGCAGACTCTTAAAAAAGAAAATGGAGATTTTATATCTTTAGTCACTTGGTAACATGTCTGTTTGTGTGTGTTAGATCACGCGGCTGTGTGCAGAGGAAGCTGCAGCGCAGGAACAGACGGGTCAAGTGGAGGAGTGTCTGAAGAACAACCTACTGAAAATTAAACAGGAGGAGTGCAAGACGGTACAGAACACATCCTTAAACATGCTCGTCTGCTACACACTGCTTTCCTCTGCATCTGTTGCTATAGAAACACCATCAGTTTTTATAAACCCAAATCTGCTATTCTGATAAGAGGAGATTCCCCCATTAGACACATGAGTGGTTGCATAGGTATTAACATTAGATGTTAGATTTATATCATTTTATTTATATTCATCTAGTATTTTATATATATATATATATATATATATATATATATATATAAGTTTTATTTACCTTCAGCTAGGACACACTAAATCTATCAAAAGAGACATTTATTCAAGTTTTGCGCAAAAAAAATGAAGCAGCACAACTGTTTTCAACATTGATTATAATAATAAGAAATGCTTCTTGAGCAGCAAATCAGCATATTAGAATGATTTCTGAAGGATCTTTGGTGAGGATTTTTAAAAATCAATAATAAACTTACCGCCTTTTGAACTGTAGTGTAATTATTTAAACATCCAATTACACAGAACAATCATAATTTAGTTTTTCACAACAATTTCCTTCATCCTCTCTTAAAGGGTTAGTTCACCCAAAAATGAAAATTCTGTCATTAATTACTCACCCTCGTGTTGTTCCAAACCTGTAAGACCTTCGTTCATCTTCGGAACACGCGCTGACCCAGATCCGGCGTGATGACGTCATCACACAGACTACTTTGTCGATCATCTTGGTACTTTTCTGAACCTTGAACGTGGTAGTTACCTTGCTGTCTATGGGAGGGTCAGAGAGCCCTCAGATTTCATCAAAAATATCTTAAATTGTGTTCTGAAGATGAACGAAGGTCTTACGGGTTTGGAACAACATGAGGGTGAGTAATCAATGACAGAATTTTCATTTTTGGGTGAACTAACCCTTTAAAGAGTCTTTTTTGCTGCTGTCTCTTTAAGAAACACCTTCACATGTGAAATGAGCGACAGTCATGGCACTCACACACAGCTATATTAATCTGACATGTACAGGTTGAGTGTCCGCATCCCGCTCTTTCATTTCATCCTCTTCTCCACGTGTAGGAGGTGTTGAACATGCTCAAAGAAAGCAAAGCAGACATATTTGTAGATCCTGTCTTGCACACGGCCTGTGCTCTGGATTTGAAACACCACTGTGCAGCCATCAACCCTGGAAGAGGCAGACGTGAGTATGGCTTTTGGTTTTTTTGGGTTTTTTGCATATTACACAATACACTGACATGATCAAAAATTTAAAAAACTCAAAATTCAAAACTGACTTTTTTCTTCTTAATGTCACTTCTTACATTATTTCTCACTGAATGTTGTGTTTCCCAGTTAAATGCATTGTAAATACTATTTTGTGTTGTTTAATTCATGATGCCCGGTTAGGATAACTGGGCTGAGGGTCTATTTGAGAGACTAATGGAAAGTTGTGGGACTGACAGATGGTGTGATTACGATGTGTGTGTTTTTTAACTCTGTAATTTGGAGCTCCTGACTCCCTGTGTTTGAAATTCTTTCCCAGAAATGTCCTGTTTGATGGAAGCTCTGCAGGACATGCAGGTGCGTCTACAGCCTGAATGTAAGAGAAGATTACAGGACCGCATAGACATGTGGAGCTATGCAGCGAAGGTCAGTACACACAAACACAAACACATCATCCAGATGGACAACTATTAAAGGGGTCATATGATGCTGCTAAAAAGAACATTATTTTGTGTATTTGGTGTAATGAAATGTGTTTATGCGGTTTAAGGTTAAAAAAACACATTATTTTTCACATACTGTACATTATTGTTTCTCCTCTATACCCCGCTTTTCTGAAACGATTTTTACAAAGCTCATCGGTCTGAAAAAGCGAGGTGTGCTGTGATTGGCCAGCTATCCAGTGCGTTGTGATTGGCCGAATACCTCAAGCGTGTGACGGAAATGGTCATGGAAATGGTTCTAGTCGTGTCCATTTTTGGAAGACCAAACAAAGTAGTTTCGCTTTCACAACGAAACACAGCGTCACACACGGTGGCCTAGAGTGAGGTCGGGGGCTAGAGTGAGGAAGAGCCGGAGGGCTAGAGTGAGCAGAGGCGGCGGATTCGACGAAGGAGCGTCCGGAGGGCTTGCGGCAACCACATGTGACGACCCCGGGCTGGACTCCGCTTCGTCCACGGTGAAAGCCGATCCAGTGATCCACAGCGCAAAGTTGATATATTTCCTCAGCGACCAGCACGGATCAGCTCTAGGCATGACGAAGCGGATATCGTCCTCTTTTGGAAGACCAAACAAAGTAGTTTCGCTTTCACAACGAAGCACACAGCGTCTTTACGACATGGCGGCGGCAACAACAATACTACAGCCAGAATAAAAGTTACGCCTTCTTTCTTTGCGTGAACGTTTAGGCAGCGTTATGCAAATCTTCCCACATAGTGACGTAGATATGTGGGGGCGTGTTAGAACGAGGCGTTTTAGGTAGGTGTGGCTGACTCTTAACTTTTATAAAGAATATCTCTTTGGATTTGAGACTTTAGTCTTTGCAACTTTACAGATCTTCTTTATGCACCAAGAGCTTGTAACACTCCAAAGAGAAAGGAAAAATTTAAATCGCATCATATGACCCCTTTAAGCATTTTTCTTAAATATATTTACTACATAACAGCCCAACCTCTAGCTGTCTTTTTTGCATTAAAATTATTATTATTATTATTAATAGTAGTAGTAATGCAATTAAAAACAAGAAATTGTTATATTAAGATAAAGTTGTATTTTAAAGTTGTCTATTAATAATAATAACAATAAATAAGAAATTATAGTAAAATAAATTGTAATTATTAGTAACAGCATTCAGACATTATTATTATTATACATATCTCTATAATAAATTTATTGACATAAATTATAATAATAATTGTTATTATTAATGCAATAACAGCAAGAATAAATTATTATATTAAAATAAATGAATCTTTATTATTAATATTATTTAATATTAAACTAATATTAATGATGACAAAGATGCAATTATATTAAATGAATTACTGTTTTTAATATTATTTTACTATTAATATTAAAATTTGTTTCAATTGTTACTATTACAATTACATACACTGCCGCTCAAAAGTTTGGGATCAGTAGGATTAATATTGTTTTTTAAAGAAGTCTCTTCTGCTCATCAAGGCTGCATTTATTTGATCAAAAATACAGAAAAAACAGTAATATTGTGAAATATTATTTGTCACATCATCCTTCAGAAATCATTCTAATATGCAGATTCATAATCAATGATGGAAGCAATTGTGCTGCTTAATATTTTTTTGGAACCTGTGACACTTTTGTTAGGATTTTTTGATGAATAAAAAGTAAAAAAGATCAGCATTTATTTAACATAGAAATCTTTTGTAACAATATACACTACAGTTCAAAAGTTTGGGGTCAGTACATTTTTTTTTCTTTCTTTTTTTTTTTTTAAAGAAATTAATACTGTTATTCAGCAAGGATATGCTAAATTGATACAAAGTGATAGTAAAGACTTCTATTGTTACAAAAGATTTCCATTTTAAATAAATGCTGCTCTTTTTAACTTTTTATTCATCAAAAAATCCTGACAAAAGTATCACAGGTTCCAAAAAAATATTAAGCAGCACAATTGCTTCCATCATTGATTATGAATCTGCATATTAGAATGATTTCTGAAGGATGATGTGACACTGAAGACTGGAGTAATGATGCTGAAAATTCAGCTTTGATCACAGGAATAAATTACATTTTAAAGTATATTAAGATAGAAAACGGTTAGTTTCAATTGCAATAATATTTCACAATATTACTGTTTTTTCTGTATTTTTGATCAAATAAATCCAGCCTTGATGAGCAGAAGAGACTTCTTTAAAAAAACAATAGAAATCCTACTGATCCCAAACTTTTGAGCGGCAGTGTATTTAATTATAATTATCAAAATAAAAAATTGTATTAGCATAATTATTGTCATTATTATAAATAATTGAATAACAGCAAGAAATTATTATATTGAAATAAATGATGTTCTTACAAATATATGTATGTATGAACACATACACATTTTTAGTAGATTATTTTTATTATTAAAAATGTTATACTTGATATTTAGTATTATTGAACAACATTTCACTTTGAGAATGTACCCTAAAGACTGTTATGTCAGGTTTAGCAAAATTCCTTTTTTATGAGATCTAGTATGTGATTTCCCAGGTGGCACCAGCTGAAGGTTTCTCGGACCTCGCTGCGCAAGTCATGACGTCACCTTCGAAGAACTACATCCTGTTCATGATTGCGCTGGCCGTGTCCCTCCTCTTCCTTGTGGGGCTGCTGTGTGGCCGCATCACCAAACGTGTGACCAGAGAGCTGAAAGACAGGTAGAGCGAGGATGCCGCCCATCCACCATTTCACGCGTCATTCCCTGCCCTCGCTGTTCTCTGTACTTACACCTGCGAAGACTCTGGGAGCCGTCAGTGGACCTTCTGTGGGCTAGCCCATCCTGCCACTGAAACCCACCTCAGTCCAAACATACAACCTTTGAGATGCTTCTCAGACAGGATCAAGATCGTTTTGGGACATTATGCCTCGAGTATATGTTGTTTAGTTTTGTTTTGAGAGTGACAGCCTTACTTCTTGACTGTAATATGGTCATGTGTCAATGCAGTATTTTTATCGTTGTATCTTTTTCCATTTTTTGAGAACGATGGGGCTTTATCAGCAACTTACATGAAAATGCAGATGCCATCTTTATATTTGTTTTTCACTTCAGTTTTTTAAACCACAAGGTGGAATTCACTTTGGGTGGGATTAGTTTTTGGGTGTCTCCTGAATGTTTTGGCACTGGGAAGGGAAGATGGTTTTTCTAGTCTAATATGATGAACTCTAATGAGCTTGACATGAAACGGTGGTCTTTATTAGTCAGGACAAAGACGTTTTAGATACATTAGACATCAAGTGCTAAACTTGCAAAGTATTACATATTACTAGATGGTTTGATTATCAAGGGCAAAGACGAACAGAATAATATTAAACATTTCTTTGAGTGAATCTCATTAAAACATGTCCATGCTCTAATATATATTTTATATATGTTCATGACAACCCCCCCCCCCCCCCATTCCCATTACATCTGCACATTTCACTTTAGTTATTTTTTAATTCCCATTATTCACTATATCATTTTTTTAAATTGCTGTGATACAGTATTTTCACTGTTTTGTTTTTTGATTTATTTAAATCAACAAAGGCAGTACAACAAAAGAAAATAAAGTTATGTCATATAATTTTCTTTAAGCACAATTTATTTTTATTTTGGTCTGAAATATGACAAACATGGTCTTGGACTGGTTTTGTGAGATTCCCCTACTGATATGAGGATTATAAACATCTGGTTTGCACATTAATAATGCATTAGAGATTAAATGATTAATATACGAAGAGTACGAAATTCAAATAGACCTGTAACTCTCTCAGAAAGTTTAATGTTAAAGATGGTTTGATTGTCCAGAGCCAAGTTTCCTGCGGACCAACATTGTGACTGAACAGGACTGTATACCCTAGACGTATTTTTTTCAGAGGTACTTTGAATGTTCACAGGACGATTGCACTTTTTTAGTGTTTTATGATGTTTGGCTTAAGCCTTATTTATTGTTTACAACAAATGTGCTGATCTTGGTTTCAAATTTGCGTGCCTCTGTGCGAGCGAGTGTGTGTGTGTGTGTGTGTGTGTGTGTGTGGAGATAAATGTTTTAGAACTTATTTCATAGCCATGTTCTAATGTTGCCTTTTCTCTTTCTCTGTCATACCAGTGAAAGTAAACATTCATTAGTCCCCATGGATGGTGGCTCTTTTTTTTTTCAAAGCTGAACCCACAGACATCTCTAGTATGAAAAGGAATGACATACTTGTCTTTTTAATTTGTTATTGAGTTACTCTGACAATAACTGTGATGATTATATGCATAACATTTGCTGAATACAAAAGGTTTTTCTAAAAGTCGATGCATGCTTTTTCCCAGATCTCATTCTGTATAACCTCATATATGCGTTGCTTTGGGAAAATGTACAGGTGCATCTCAATAAATTAGAATGTCGTGGAAAAGTTCATTTATTTCAGTAATTCAACTCAAATTGTGAAACTCGTGTATTAAATAAATTCAATGCACACAGACTGAAGTAGTTTAAGTCTTTGGTTCTTTTAATTGTGATGATTTTGGCTCACATTTAACAAAAACCCAAAATCCTGAGCCAAAATCATCACAATTAAAAGAACCAAAGACTTCAACTACTTCAGTCTGTGTGCATTGAATTTATTTAACACACGAGTTTCACAATTTGAGTTGAATTACTGAAATAAATGAACTTTTCCACGACATTCTAATTTATTGAGATGCACCTGTAATTGGGCGATTCTCATGAAATCCTGTTCAGGTCACATTTTACCCCAAAATCAAAAGAAAAGAAAAAAGATTTTTAATCACAGTATTTTTACAGTTAAACCAGTTGTCATGAAAATAAGTGCAAAAACAGAATATATATATATATATATATATATATACACACACACACACACACACACACACATGCAGACTGTTATGCAGGGGGAGCTGGAGAGAACTGTGAGT